TCTTTCTTGTAGTGGACTGTTCTGAGTATTGTAGAACATTTAAAAACTTCCCTGACCTCCAACTACTGGATGCCCATAGAACTTTTCCAGTTTGACAACTGAAAAGGTCTCCAGTTATTGTTGTGTCCTCTAGGGGGCAAAATTACCCCCATTTAAGAACCATGAAGAGAGAATATATACACACATAAAAATTCAACAATCATTTAATCTTTTCTGTTGTTCATACGTCACCCTATGCCTTAGAAGATACTAAGATGAATAAATTAAGGTCTTTAATTTCACATATAAAACTGCTTTGATTCCCTTTCTTTTACTCCTTTTCTCTCTGTCTCTGCTTCTTTATATATATATATATATATATCTATATATATAATATATATCTTTCTTAATATCTCTATATCTATACATTTAAACTGGTATGCCTGTAAGTATCATATCTGTCTGTCTATCTATCATTTATGAAAGTGATGAGGCAGATTTATATTAGAACTGCAATTATATTGTGAGTAGTAGTAATACTTAGCCATGTTCATTTATTTGGCTAATGAAGTATAATACTTAGATGGGACTAGTGTTACTAAGATTGGTCATCACAATTCAAACACCAATGGCTTAAATTAACAATCCACAGGAATTACCTACTTCATGGCACAGAAGATTGAAAGAATGAGCACTGTCTACTGGTAAAGCAGTGATGAAAATGTTCTTATAAGAATGCATGAAGAGAATTATACTCTGGGAATAATGTAGTAACTGGTGCTAGACTTACTCTCCTGGCATAAACAACTATAAAATACATGAAGACAAAATATATGAGGTTACTACTCAGTCATTGGAAAAGAAGCATTGTAGGACTAGGATTTCTGATAAAAAGAGAAACACAGGGCATAAGCTACACGTTACCTCCAACTTTCTGCCAGGAGATATTTTCTGAAATGCAGTGCAAAGAGATGGAGCCTAAGTCAAACAGGCAGGCTCACTGAGTTGAGGTAATCAGAAATTAAATTTGATGCTTCTGGAGCAGATGGCATTTTCAGGGCAGTGAAGGAATCTTCATAGAGAGGGTAATCAGAAATTGGAGGTAGAGGACAGTGCACTGGTCTTGGCTGAAGATTGGGCTGTACATACAAAGGAAGACTGAGAAATGGAGGGATCAGAGGTCGTACAGGGCTGGGAGAGATTAAAATCTTGACCAGATAGAGCATGGAGACCTCTCTGAGCAACTCAGACATTCAGGTGACACCACAGAAAGACCATGCCTTAATGGTAAGACCCATGTTCTAAAGTAAGGGCTGAGACCTATAATAAAGGGGGAAAACTAAATCTTATGAAGAATAAACAAAGTCTGAACAAAACTCCACACTCTTTAAAGGAAGATAACATAATCAAAACTTTCCACATCTTTCCATTTTCACACGTATAATAAAAGAGTACTAGACATAACAAAACTGACTATATCAAGAAAAAAAGAGTAGCCGATTGAAACAAAACTCCAACTTGACCCATATATTCAAGAGTTAGAGGAAAACCTAATAAGAGATCAGTTGAGGAATCTTAGCAGATAAATAGTTTTAAAAAATTCTATAAATGAAAAATATAACATTTTAGATGAAAAATTCACTGGATAAGCTTAACAACTAATTAATTTGCAGAAGAAATATTCAGTGAACTTGAAGATAGATTAATAGATAACAGTGATAAAAGATTAAAAATAATCAACAGAGGCTTAGGACTAACATACAATATTAATGATTGTAACATATAATTGGTGTATAATCTGGGTATGATTGGAGTCCAAGATGGAAAAAAGAGAATGGGGCAGAAAATAATATTTGAAGAAATAACGGCTAAAAATACACCAACTCACAGATCCAAGAAGCTGAGCAAACTTAAAGCAATATAAATAAAAAGAAAACCCCACCTAGGCATATCTTAGTCAAACTGATGAAAGTCAAATAAAGAAAGCTATCTTAAAAGCAGCAGAAGAAAAGTACACATTATATACCACAGATCAACAATAGGAATGACAGCTGACTTCTTATCTAAAGTAATGAAGGCCCCAAAACAATGCTACAATATCTTTAAGTATCTACAGAAAACAGACAAACAAATGCACAAACTAATAAACCATTAGCCCAGAATTAGAGATCAAACATGAATCTCCTTCAAAATCAAGGGATATATTCAGATAAACAACAGCTGTGGGAATCTGTCAACAGCAGACTTGAAACTATAAGAAATGCTAAAGCTCAATAGGTTGAGGAGAAAAAAATACCAAATAAAAATGATCAAATGAAGGAAAGAAGAAGACTGGAATAGTAAATATATCAGTAAATATAAGACTAAATTTTGTCCTTCCTTAATTTCTTTAAAGAACAACTGAATGCTTAAGGCATATAATAGTAACAATGTGTTGTGAGGTTTACGATGTATGTAGAAGTAAAATATACAACAACAATGGCACAAGGGATGGGAGAATAAATAGAATGCTTTTTAAATTAGCTTAGCTCTAATTATAACTGATAGGTTGTGTTAAGGACTTAAGTGGCAATCTCTTAGAGTTATAACTACAAAACTACAAAGATGTATGGCTAGCAACAGAAGAAATAAAATGAAAAATGAATAACATTTTAACTTAACCACTGCCTACAAGAAAAAAGAATGAAAGCTTCAAAAGGAGGAAGAGAAAAACAAACAAAAAAACAGATAGAAAGAAAAATAAAACAAATAACAAGTTGGTAAACTTATAATCAATTATATCAATAAGTACCTTAAGTGTAAGTGGTTAAATATTCTAATTAAAAGGCAGAGATTGCCAAACTGAATAAGAAAGTAAGACCCAAGTATATGCTATTTACAAGAGACGTACTTTAAATAGAAAGACATAGGTTAAAGGTAAAAATATTAAAATTTAAAATATATCACATGTAAGCAGCAGACAGCTAGCATGGCTACATTAATATCAGGCAAAGTATACATCAAGAGACTAAGAATTACTAGAGATAAGGATGGAAACTTCTTGATAAAAAAGATCGTTTCTTCTGGAAGACATAATAATCATACATGTATTTGTACCTAATAACAAAGCTTCAAAATAATGAAACATAAATTGAAGGAACAAAAGAAAGAAATAGACAAATTCATAATCATAGATAGGAATTTTCACATTCTTCCCTTAGTAGCTGATGGAACCTTTTTTAAACAAAAATATCAGGAAGGATATAGGAAATTTGATCAGTAGTATCAACCAACCTAACATAACTATTGTTTATAAAACATTACACCCCTAAATGCAGAATATACTTTCTTTTCAAGTACATATGTAATGACTAAGATAGAGCATATTGTAGACCATTAAAGAAGTTGCAATAAATTGTGAAAGTTTAATATCTTACTTATTTCACTTGTGGATTAAAATCTAAATCAATAGCAATAAGCAATCTATAATATCCTTAAATATTTGTCCAGAATATATATATACACAGATATTTTTCAGATATATAAGCATATCTGAAAAAGACCTATATCTAGAATATATAAAGAATTCATATCAATAATAAAATGACATATAACCCAATAAAAATAGATAAAAGACTGGACCAAGTATAGGTAAATTTAGGCCCACAGGCCAAATATGGTGTGCAGCCTGTTTTTGTATGACTCACAAACTAAGAATGATTTTTACATTCTTGAAAAGATATTCAACATATTCGTCTTCAGATACATGAATTTTTAAAACTACAATCAGATAACATTATGCTGCAACCGAATGGCTAAAATTTAAATATTAAACAAGACTGACAACACTAAGTCGTGTTAAGAATGTGGAACAACTGAAACTCTTATGTATTGCTTGTGGTAGCATAAAATGGTACTTTGGAAAACTTTTTTGTCCCTTTCTTATAAAGTTTAACATATACTTACTGAATGAGCTAGCAATTCCACTCCTATTTGTTTACTGAAGAAATATAAAAATATATGCTCACATAAAGACTTATACAAAAATATAGCATTTTTATGTCTAACAGCTAAAAATGGAGAGGACTCAGTACTCAGACTAGAACTCAAATGTCAATAGGAAAATGAATATTTTATATGTATATATATGTATATGCACATACATGTACACATACATATATGTGGGTCTACTTTAAAATCATAATACAGGAAAATAATAATTAAGATACTAATAACAGGGATAGAAAAAGTTTCTAAAAGTAATTTGCCATGAATCAGGAAACCTATTCTATATTTTTAAGTATGGTTTGCATAGTAATAAAAAACGTAACAGGTGAAATTAATATACCACGTTCTCATTTCAGAAGATTCTACAAAGGACATTTGATATTAAATTCACTTATTCCTAATTTTCTGTGATGGAAAGTATTTAAACTTACTTTCAACCTTTTATTTAACAGTAGACCTTGAGTATAGATAGGTTTATTACCTGTGGCCCATGGTCGTACATCACGGCATCTGTGAATTGGCTGTTAAAAAATAAAAGGAGGAGGGGCTGGCCCCGTGGCTGAGTGGTTGGGTTTGCGCGCTCTGCTGCAGGCGGCCCAGTGTTTCGTTGGTTCGGATCCCGGGCGCGGACATGGCACTGCTCATCGAACCACACTGGGGCAGCGTCCCGCATGCCGCAGCTAGAAGGACCCACAGCGAAGAATATACGGCTATGTACTGGGGGGCTTTGGGGAGAAAAAGGGAAAAAAATAAAATCTTTAAAAAAATAAAAATAAAAATAAATAAAATAAATAAAATAAAATAAAAGGAGGAGAGGGAATCTTCTTCTTTAAATACACTTCTTGGTACTTAGAAAATTGTCTTTCAAAGTAATTCATGTCACATTATACAAATAAGCCACTACTGTTTCCTTCCAAATAAATATGAGGCAGCATGAAATTCTATTGTATGTAGCCAGGTAGTGCACAATCATTGTCACTTTGTTTTGATATTTAGAATACTTTGCATTATAAGAATAAAAGAAAACATACCTTGTGCTAGCTTCGGCAGCACGTATACTAAAACTGGAATGATACATAGAAGATTAGCATGGCCCCTGCACAAAGATGACACACACATTTGTAAAGTGTTCCATATCTTTTTTTAAAAAAAGAAAACATACTTTGTCAATAATTATCAACCTCTGGTACTTGTTTAAAGTGGCCTAAGTTGGAAAATGTCAAAGAAAAAGATAAGACTAAACTTGTACATCTTTAACTTACATTGCTAAACACAAAGGAACCAAAATTTTCGTTACTGCTAATAAGGCAAGTAATATTCGGAAATTCAAAAGAAAGAACAACTTAGCTCTGTCCATGAGAAAGTATGGATGATTTTTATGGAAAAGAAGACTACTAACGAGGCTGAAATGGAACATATTCCATTAAAAGGAATCTTGTCCTGGAGTTTCCTGCAACATTGCTTATTCACTAATTGAGCAAAAGAAGTACCTTGTGATTGAAAAGTCATTCCAGGTCCCCTTGAAACAATCTCTCTGGTTTGCTATGTAGAACAGGATGAGTTCTATCAATTTTCTAATAGTGTGTAACAAAGCACCCAAAACTTAGTGGCTTGAAACCTCTAACGCTTATTGTTGCTTGTGAATCTACAAGATGACTGGGTGGTTCTCCTGATCTGGGCTGTACTTCGTTCATTTCAGCTGGGCTTTGTCATGTGTCTGCAGTCTGCTGGCAGCTCAGCTGGGATGTGGACAGTCTAAGATGGCCTTACTTACAAGCCTGGAAGCAGTCCAGCTGTTGACTGGGGTGACAGGTTTGACTGGGCCATGTAGCTCTCATTATTCAGCAGGCTAGACAGAGCTCACTCACACAGTGAGTAACCGTCACAGGGTTTGAAGAGCAAAAGTGAAGGCCCCAGTGGGCGAGTGCTTTTCAAATGTCTGTTTGCCCTGCTAATCCCTTTGGTCAAAACTAAGTCACACAGATTCAGCGGGTGGGGAAGTAGATTTTGTTTCTTTATGGGAGGTGGGAGAATTGTAGATATTTTTACAACTGGCAACAATACCAAAGCAAAATCATCAGATGATACCATCTACTCCAGCATTTCTGATGCCCTTTAATATTTTGAGGCAAGAAGTTTGTAGAGTAATTGATAGCAAACCCTCATCAGCAACTGTTGTTCCCTAGTTTGGCCAGCTCCTCATTTCCTTTGGCTGTATATATGCTAGATCAATCAAATAAGAATTTCAATTTTTTATAGTTATTTTATATGACCAGAAGATTATTTTCTTTACAAAAATAAGTCTAAAACTGCTTTGATTTAATTTGAAGCTTTTCTTTCTTTTAAGAGCAAGTAAGTCATGCTTTGATAGGGAGCAAGTTTTTCAGGTTGGCTTATTCGGCAGATGTTTTTGACTATACAAGAGAGACCTATTTCAAGGCCTTATAACTTACGTTATAGACATTGCTGACAAATTACAAGCATTTTGGCAAAGCTCCTCTTGAACTTTTAATGTATAATAAAGTATTTCTAAAGTAGTAAAACACTATCAATTTATTGGCAAGCAGAAATGTCGTATAAGTAGAAACATTACAAAATAATTTTGAAGATTGCTTTTGCTTGAAGAACCTTAAAATTGAAACTTGACTTTAAATTCCATGTCCTACGACATGTCAATGTGGTGGGACTTACCAACGATTTTATCACCAACCTGAGACAAAGGAAGTAAGTATATGAGTTTAACTCATAGACTCTGGGAGAAATGCAGTGATATTTGACATGAAGTGTTGGATGGAAGTAGACATCCTTTATTTTGTGGGTATATCCACTCTTTATCAGAACTGCCCATCCCGATGAGGCTAGGATCAGATGGTCTGCTTTTTCTATCACAGGGGTAGAGAATCTACTCACGCTTTCCGGTAGGGGTACTACGTCCTCTGTGACACAGTCATCAGTCTAGGGGAGCTATGTGACTTGGGAATATAGCAAGAGAAAATCAGAGCCCACAGGTCACACAAGAGTAGACAGCAACCTTATTTAAATGTTGGATCAAGCTATGGATTCAAGTTCATACCTTTAGACTTTCTAGTTATGTGAGCTATAAGTTATATTTTTCTAATTTTAAACTACATTGATTTGGATATAAAATAGTTTGGAACTAAAACCATTGTTTTCCTGAATTAGGGTTCTCAGCACTTGTTGCCATCAAATTAATAACAAAGATCAGATAAAATGACTATTCTTATATCGAAGAACTTAGAAAATTTTTGAATTTTAGTCGTCAAAAATTTCTTTTTTAATTGACTTTTATTTTTAGCAGCAGTAAAAAATATTTTAAAACAATAATTAAAAATCCAAGCTATGAAACACAGGTGGAAAATAGAAGTGCGCATTTATGAAACTTTTTTTGGTAGACATGACACAGTCTTTTTAAAAGAATGGTGAACGTATTGGGTAATGCAAAAATGAACACATATATATGAACTAATCAGAATAAAAAGGAAGGTATATATAACAACTATTATAATCCGAGTTAGTAACTAAATTACATAAAAAACTAAATAAAATATATAATTAAAAGGCCCAAAAAATAAAAATCACCAAGAGTCTTAGATCAGTAAATCAACACAAACATCCTACATAAGAAAAAAATGCAACCAGCAATGATGACAACAAAAATGTGCAAAATATTATAACCTTCATTAGTAATTGAGGGAAGGCACTAAAAGAAATCATGAGATTTCATCCATCCCATCAACATAAAGAGAAAAACAGAGGGAGAATAGAATGAAGCTGTTACTTTTTTACATTGTCAATGATATTTTCAAAATACATAACATTTTGCAAGGATGTTTGTCAATATGTTTCAAATACCAAAAAAAATTTCACATATTTTATTTTCATTATACCACCTCTGGGAATCTAGTGTATAAATCTAACACAAAATTAGAAAAATGTACATTTAGAAAGTTGTTAATGTCAACATTTTTTATAATGTTGAAAAATTAAAAGCAACGTAACTGTCCAGATGCATAGTCTATAAAATCATTACATATCCTCTACATCTACGAAAAATACCTTGCAGGCTTTAAAAATGATAGTTTTGAAGCCGTAAAGAAATGGAAACTTTTTATGTAATAGCAAATGGAAAAGTGGTACACAAATGATACGTCAATGATAGTTATAACTCTGCTATCACTAAACTATTATTAATACTCTATTTAACAAGTAGCACCAGGAAGTTGGCCAGCTCTTTGAATATCCAAAGTAATTTGAATCCATACCTCATACAATACAACAAAATAAACTGAAATTGTATCAAATAACTTAAGGGGGAAAAAATAAAGCTTAAAGGCTAGAAAAATACAACATATCTATTTCATTTTGGATGGAAAAATACTTGCTGAGCTTGAATATATTTAAACAAAGGGAAATATCATATTGTTCATTACAAATATAGATATTTAAATGCCTGATTATCAAATGAAAACATGACTAAACTTAATTATGGAAAATATATTTGAAACACTGGATCACACAATAAAAATTCTTAAAATAAGAGTAACTAAAAATTGATAAGATACTCACATTCCAGTACATACCAAAATAACTCACAAAAAGAAATAAAAGTAGCAATAAATATATGAAATATATTCACTAAATATTAATGAAAACATGTTAACTTAAAAATTAAGTACTTCTCTTTGTTTATCAAAGCAGGAAAGTTTTAACCAATTAAGTGTAATGCAGGAGAGGTGGAGTCAGATGGGTGCTCACAAAAGACTGGAGGTATTAACAATTGACATAACTTTTCTGGAAATCAATTTGGCAAAATGTATCGAAATATTTATACTTTTCAGTCCAGTAATTTCATTTCTAAAAATCTAAGCTAAAGTGCAGTTAAAGATTTAGACACTACAATGTAATTAATAGCAGTATTTAACTTGAAAAAACCATAAAGATCAACCTTAGGTGAATGATAAAGTAAGTTATTATGATATATGATAGGATATTGTAAAGCCTTTAAATAACTGTAAGTTTAAAGAAGGAAATGCTAAACCAGAGAAGATAAATATTTAATATTTTTGTCAATCTAATAATTTTAATTTAAAAAATCTATAGGAAATTAACAGAAATTGAAACATTAAATTTCCAATGGTAATTTTTCCTGAATTTTGAAATTACGGTAAAAGTTATTTTCTCCTTTTCTGCAATCTTCCACTTGTGCTGTACACGATGCAGAACAAGTACTGCTTTATGATGGCACATTTTTATAATTTTTTAATGTTGTATTATAATTTTTAGAGTACACTCATAATAGGGACATAAAATGCTATATAAATATGTTTTCATTGCCATTATTACAGTCCCTCATTTCTTCAAACTCCCACCTTTTCTGCATCTATGTTTGCTGACTTTTTAGTTCCAGCTCCGACAGAAAAAGCATCCTTTAAAATGCAAACGACAATCTGTCAATATTAGTTAGCTGAGCTTCAATTTTTTGCACCCCCTTCTTCCATATTTGTGATAAAACATCACTTGGAACAGCAGGAATAACATTATAGGGGACAACTGAAGATAGTCACATCATATGATTGGCTTTTTATTCCCTTGAACATGGTTTTTAAAAATCAAACATTTACAAAGGCAACCCAACGTATACCTCTTCTCTGTTGCTCTTGATAGTACATTGAAAGGAAAGAAAAACCAGGAGATGTAGACAGCGCTCGATCAGAATAAATAATTCATTCAAAAAGGATGCTGTTATGCACTGAATGTCACTATAAATGTAGATACCTGGCCAAGTAATATATTCTATGGCAGTAGAAAATATACTACATTGCTTCCAAATGGGTGGTAACCATGCTCTCTAGTAAAATAAATATCTGTGGCAAATGACACATACCTATTTAATGACACTTTGAGTTCATGTGAAGTTTGGCAGTGTAATAAAAGTCTTATCTCTTGCTTTCACTGTTATTGCACAGATTTAAACTGCTGTCTCAGAGGCAGTTTTACTATCTTTTTCAATCTACCCCATAAAAGTGAGACTTGATTTGCTTAGCATGAGAACAGATCAATAAAAGCTAAGTTATACAGCAGATTAGATCACTAACTTGGAGATCAAAGATGTTAAATACA